CCAGGCAAGGCCTTTGTGAAGATGTCTGAAATCTGTTCTTTTGTATCCAGATGATGAAGTTTGATCAATTTTTGAGCTACCTTTTCCCTGACCAGATGGCAATCAATCTGTATGTGTTTCGTACGCTCATGGAAAATAGGGTTAGTGGCAATTGCAATAGCAGACTTATTATCACAAAAAACAGGGATAGGATCAGAATGAGGAATTTTTAAATCAGTGAGGAGATATAAAAACCATTGCAATTCACATGCTGTTGAGGCTAGTGCTCTGTATTCAGCCTCAGCAGATGATTTGCTTATGGTGGCTTTCTTTTTAGACTTCCAAGATATAAGTGAATTGCCTAAAAAAACTGAAAAACCTGTGATGCTTCTCCTTGTATCAACACAGGATGCCCAGTCACTGTCTGAAAAGGCCTGCAGCTGAAGGTTAGATGTTCTGGAAAACAATATACCTTTTCCCACTGTACCCTTGAGATATCTCAGAATTCTATGAGCAGCAGTAAGATGTTGAACAGTAGGTTTTGATAAAATTGACTAAGAGTTTGGACACTATATGCAATGTCAGGTCTAGATATTGTGAGATATAGCAATCTGCCAACAAGTTTTCTATAAGTTGTAGGCTCTGTCAATGGATCATTGTCATTGTAAGCAGTCAGTTTAACTGTAGGATCCATAGGAGTATTGACAGGCTTACATCCTAGAAAACCAGTGTCAGTTAGAATATCTAGCACATATTTTCTCTGGCACATATTTATTCCTTGGGTAGAATGAGCAAACTCTAAACCAAGAATATACTTTAATGTGCCTAAGTCTTTAATGGTAAAGCATTTATCAAGGTGGTTTTTGATATTTGAAATGTGTTCTAAGTTGTTACCTGTCACTATAATATCATCAACATATACCAAAAGGGCTGTAAATGAACAGTCAGTAGTCATAGTGAACAGAGAATTATCAGAAACAGACTGAACAAACCCATAATCAATAAGACATGTAGTTAACTTAGAAAACCATTGTCTAGATGCTTGTTTAAGACCATATAGACTTTTAACCAATTTGCAAACTCTGGAGTCATTCACTTTACAGTAACCAGGAGGAGGTTTCATGTAGACCTCTTCCTCTAAATCACCATGCAAGAAAGTATTATTCACATCAAGTTGATGTATATGCCAGTTTTTAATGGAAGCTATAGCAATTAAAAGTCTAACAGTAGTAATTTTGGCAACAGGAGAGAAGGTTTCAAAATAATCTATTCCTTCTTCTTGGGTATAACCCTTAGCCACTAATCTTGCTTTATATCTTTCAACACTGCCATCAGATTTATACTTGATTTTAAAAACCCATTTACATCATATACAATGTTTATCTTTAGGCAGAGTTGTTAAAACCCATGTATTAGTCTTTTCTAAGGCATCTAGTTCCTTTCTCATGGCTTGCTGCCATTAAATATCTTTGGATGCCTCAGTGTAGCTTTTGGGTTCATTTAACAAAGATATAGAAGCAGTAAAGCATGAATGCATGGCAGATAAGGAATCAGTTGAAAGAAAGGATGATATAGGATACAGAGATGTTCCAGAAGTGCATAAAAATAAGATAAGACAACAGAATTTGATTTAGAAGTAGGAATTGAATGTTGGTATATATCAAGATAGGCTGGTGGTTTTGTAGTTCTGCTTGTTCTTCTGAGATTGTTGAGAGTATTTAATGGTTGTGGAGGAGATATTTGAGTATTGGGTATCTGAGAAGATGATGGTTGAGTGGATAGAGTATTAGGTGTTTGAGGAGATATTAGAGTATTAGGTGATGTCTGAGTAGGCATAGTAGGAATAGAAGGTGTTGGAGAATGTAATTGTGAAGGAGGTGGTTGATTTGACAAGGTATGAGGATGATTATCTTCAAACAGAAATGGTTGGGGTTGAGGAAATAGATTGTCAGGAGTAGTGTTTGGGTATTTGAAAGGGAAGACAGTCTCATAGAATTGCACATGTCTGGAAATTAGTGTTTTCTTGCTATCAAGGTTGTAAAGTTTATACCCTTTACAACCAATGGGATAGCCAAGAAATATGCATTTTTGTGCTCTTGAATCAAATTTCTGTCTATGTGCTGTCAAAGTAGATGCATAACATAAACTGCCTATAACTTTCAAATGATCATATATAGGAAGCTTGTTGTATAAGAGTTCAAAAGGAGATTTATTTTGAAGAACAATAGATGGAACTCTGTTTATAATGTGTGCAGCAGCCAAAATACAATCAATCCAGAAGATTAATGGTAAATGTGCATGAAACAGTATAGCCCTGGCTACTTGTAATAGATGTTGGTGTTTCCTTTCAACCCTACCATTTTGTTGTGGTGTTTCTACACAACTTGTTTGATGGATAATGCCATGATCATGAAAGAAATCTTGTAAGAAAAATTCAGATCCATTGTCAGTCCTAATAGTTTGGATTTGTTTTTGAAACTGGGTTTTAACCATGTTATGAAAGTTGAGTAGACTGACTTTGGTATCTGATTTATTTTTAAGTGGGTAGATCCAAGTGGTTCTACTGAAATCATCCACTATTGTTAAGAAGTATTTGAAACCTTCATGAGAAGTGACTGAAAAGGGACCCCAAACATCACAGTGTATTAGTTCAAAAATAGAAGATGATTTGGAATCACTAACTGTGAATGGCAGTCTCTTTTGTTTAGCAAAGTGACAAACATCACAAGGCAAGGATGACATATGTTTGCAAGAAGAATCAGAGATGGGTAAATGCATTAACTTTGAGTAAGAGAGGTGACCCAACCTGTGATGCCACAACATATTATGCATAGTGTCATACTGAACATTCATACAATCATGGTTGATATTCATAGAGAAAGATTTCTCAGTTTCAGAGTCATGTATAGCAGGTGAATTCTCAGGGATACAAGGTTTATGATTACAAGTAGTAGAGTTGACAGAGATACAAGGTTTATTTGAGTCAGGTAAAGCAAGATGATATAGACCATCTGAGATCAGCAGAACCAATCATTTTGAGTGTGCTCAAATCTTGTAAAATGCAGTGTGATGACAAGAATTGGATCATGCAATTTGTGGTGGATACAAGTTTTGAGACAGATATCAAGTTGAAAGAAAAATTGGGAACATATAAAGCATCATGCAGAATGAAATTTGGAGATATATGTATCTGTCCTACTGCACAAGCTTTAGTAATATCACCATTTGGCAAATTGATTTTGATATTGTCAATAGATTTCAAGGAAGTAAAGAAACTAATATCACAAACCATATGATCCGTTGCCCCTGTATCTAGAATCCATGAATTCTTAGACAAAGTTCTAGACACAACACAAGAATAAGGTGCAGGATTACCTGAAGCACTTTGAATAGCAGTAGCCACCATTGGATTTGAGCTTTGGATAGGTCCTGTGACAGATTTTGCTTCCTGACTCTTTTTGAAAGCTAAAAACTCATGAAAAAGCTCATTAGTCATGGAAGATGCATCCATAGTATTAACAGATGGTTCAGAAACAGTGGTTGAGTGTGTCAGATTGGCTGAATGTTTTGGGTGAATTCTAGGTCCTTTGGGGCCAATCCAGTTTGGGGGATATCCATAAACTTGATAGCATTTATCAGATGGGTGTGGATAGCCACAGTGAGAACATTTGGGTCTTGGTTTCTTGTCTTTGGAGTATTGTGGTTTTTGGTTGTATGAAGATTGGTTAGTTTTGGCTAGCATAGCCATGGGATCAGTAGGTTGAAAGGAGTTGTTCAAGGCTCTCTGAGATTCTTCTTGAAGGAGGAGTGAGTATATTTTTGTCAAGGTAGGCAACGGTGAGGTTAATAAGAAATGGCTTCTCATAGAGGCAAAGGAGTCATTCAGCCCAATCAGAAATTTCATTACACAATCATTTTGTTGTGACTCAGACATTTGATCAAAAATATTGCAAGTACAGGAAGCAAACACCCCACAATGACATCGAATTATAGGCCTAAAAGTTATATACTCATCCCAAAGACCTTTGAAAGCATTATAGTACTGAGTGACAGACAATGAACCTTGAGTCATGGTATTAAGAGATTTTTCTAACTGAAACACCCGTGGTCCACTACTGACAGCATAACGATTTTTCAACTCATCCCAAACATCCTTAGCAGAGTTAAAAAACAACAATGACTGTCTGATATCTCTAGAAATTGAATTCATCAACCAAGACAGGACCAAATTATTAGCCCTAACCCATGAGATATACAGACTATTATCAATAGCAGGAGAGGGTGAAAGCAGAGTACCATCAATGAAACCTCCCTTATTTTTCACGCTTAGCGCCATGACAACGGCGCGGGACCAGCTGACGTAGTTCTCGCCGTTGAGGAGTTCGGCGACAATGAGAGCCCCGGGGTTGTCACTGGCGTGCAGGTAAAACGGACTCGATGGATCGTCGTTAGGGTTTGAAACGATCGCCATGAACCAGAAACAGATAGATCTAGGAGATGTAGATAAAAAAAAAAACAAAATCGATCGAAAAATCGAAGAGCAATATAGAACGGATTTCAGCGAAACCCTAAAAAAATCGATCGAAAAACAAATGGAATCGAATTAATCTCAGAGATGGAGATTAACGCGATCGAAGAACAAAATAAAACGGAAAGATCTATGTGCGGAAGCGATGAGAGGATGGATCGAACGCGACTGATACCATATCAGATCTCAAATCATAACAAGATGAACAAGATGAACAAGATGAACGAGAGAGAGCATATCGGATGAACAAAGAAGAAATTGCACAGAATGAATGAATGAGAAAAAGTGGCGATGTACAGTGAGAGATAGAGCTTATATACTTAGGGTTATAAGGGGCAAGATAGTAAATTACATAAAGCCTATAGTTGTTATTCCCTAATAACAACTTTAACATAAAATCTACCCTTACATTATATCTAACACTAATAGAACTTCACAGACTATTCTACATACACTAGCATTAGCATCTCACAGATTTTGACCATCCCAAAAAATGGACACCCCAAAGCATACGTGCTTGAAGCTGGACGCCAAACCCGAACCCTTATTCGTGAAGGGGACGTGGTACCCGACCCGCTTCGACATTGCCATAACCGACGGCCTCCAAGCTTGGGTTTGCCACGGTATTTATTTCACAATAACTATTCCCATTTTTCTTGAACTTTAATTGATTGATTTATTGCCTGTATTGAAAAAGCTACCGAGGAGGAGGTGAATGAGAGGGCGTCATCTTGGGACCAAACGGTGTCGGATTACATCGACTTCGCCGAGAGGTATCTCGGGTTTCAGCAGCGCGGGTCGGTTTACGGGTTCTCGGATGCTGGAAATGGATACAAACGGGTTTGTGTAATTACTCGAAGTTGTTGCTCTAAGAAATTCTAGTTAAAGGGATCTTGTTGATGCTTTTTTTTTTTGGAATACTGTTGAATGCTCTAAGAAAAGATTTCATCTTTTCTTCTCTATAACAATGTTATGAACAAGTATTGAAACTTTCTTCAACAAGTGAGGGGAATTTGTGTGCCATTGTTTGTGACATAATCTTTATTCATTTTACATTTAGGACTATTGGTTGAATAAAGAAGCAGCTCATGTACCATAGTGGCGAAATTTGTCGATCGGCTTGGATCTTGGTCATATCCTTTCGTATTAGGACTGCCGTAGAAAATGGAAATAGAATGATGTTGACAATACTGATATGATGGTCCTATGATTGATAGTCAGATAGTGCCTTAGTTTTTTTTTTTTCAAGAATTCAAATGTTGTAATGCTTGTGGTGCTGCTTGGTAGTTACTAGTTAAGTGCATCTAGAATAGAACTCTTGAATCTATTCGTTCGGGTCAGAACTAATTTTTTTACTTTTCGCAGTTGTTTTATGTATGTATTTTATTCTCAGCAGGGTTTGATCTTTATTGAAATATGTTGGGGGCTTTCGTGCAAAAGTACATATAAACTACAAATGTGAAAATGGAATGTCTAGATAAAGTCTAAATATTTGACGAGAAGCATTTTCATAGGCAGTATCAGAGTAGAACAAAGTAATCTACATAAGAGGAATGGACATGCCCGAATGGTAGTCCCATTAGCATTTTCTTTCTTTCGAAAGCTATTATCTCCTCATTTTTGTTTTCATTTGTTTTGTTGCAGTTAACATTTACATTTGAGAAGGAAGGCACGAAACTCGAGTGGCGTTGGAAATGCCAACCTTCGCCCGATAGCAGGAAAACAGCAGCTGAGGTTTTGGATTTCCTTATGGATGCAAACATTAAATTGAGTGTAAGAGCCATATTTTGTGTACTTTCTGGGGGTGGAATTTTAGGAAATGTATTTTAAGTGCTTTGCTCAAATATGATATTTCCAAGATAAATCTAGTTGAACTTATGCATTCTTTTATTTTGGAGAAATTTGGTGCTCTTAGTTGTTTATATGCTTTCATCGCATGTTTCTTCATTTGGTACGCGTTTAGGAAGAAGTTGTGTGGAAAACACAATCGTTCGACAGGCTCAAACAAGAGGCTGAAAAATGTTTAGCGCAAAGTGAAAAACTCAGTTGTGAGAAATCTGAGTATGAATCTGAAATATTTGAGAAGGTACGCCAACTTTCCCCCTACATTTGGTTAATTTTTTTTTAAAAAAAAGAAAGTACCCTCCCATGTTTTTAAATCTAATTATTAAGAAACCCCTGATCTGTTTCCAAATACCCTCTTGTTTATTCTCTCTTTACACCCTCAAGAGGGGTTTGTTTCATAAGTTGCAATAACAGGAACTCCTGTGATTGCAAATATATGTTTTTTTTTTTTTTTTTT